ACCCCTAAACCCTAAGCCCAGACCCTTGAAGCTTAAACCCCTAAGCTCTGAACCCCTATGATCTTAACCCTCCGCAGGAGGGCCGAGGCCGCGTTGGCGGAGGCTCTTGCGGACATCACCGGTGGTGTTTTGCAGATCTGGCGCCTTGCCTGCGCTTCTTAGTTGGGGCTGAAGGATTTAGGGCATTTCGGGTTTAGGGTTCCCTAAACCCTAAACCTTAAGCTCCTAGACCCTAAACTTTAAGTCCTAAGCCCTAAGCCCTCAAGGTTCAGGGGCCCTAAACCCTAAATCCTAAACCCTAAAAAAACTAAACCCAAAGCCCTCAAGGTTCAGGGGTTGAAGACTCTTGTCTTCAGAGCGGGTGCCCAGAGAACCCAATACCCCTTAATTAGGGAATATTTCTTAAATCATAATATTCAGGGCCCTATAATTTAAGGTATATTTCTTAAATCATAGTATTAAGGGCCCTATAATTTAAGGTATATTCCTTAAATCATAATATTAAGGGCCCTACAATTTAAGGTATATTCCTTAAATCGTAATATTAAGGGCCCTGTAATTTAAGGCATATTCCTTAGTTAAGGGGTATTGGGTTCTCTGGGTGAGAGTTGCATGGGCTTCTGCCGGCTCCTCAGTCCCTGCTGAAAGAGACAGCGGCAAGAAGTCGTTTGGGTGAGGGCTTATAGGGTTTAGGGTTCAGGGTTTAGGGTTTAGGGTTCAGGGTTCAGGGTTTAGGGTTTAGGGTTCAGGGTTTAGGGTTTAGGGTTTAGGGTTTAGGGTTCAGGGCCTAAGCGGGGAATCTGGCCGGGCGAGCACTAATGAAGCCTGTGTAAACAGGGTTCAGGCACTGTTGTGCTGATTCATGTTTCGCCGCTTGTAGTCTGGGCCCACGGCGGCGATGGTTTTTGAATAGCACCGGACTAACACTTTATGCATTGAAGACAAAAAAATTCTTGGGGGAGACCCTAACCCTAAACCCTAAACCCTAAACCCCAAACCCTAAACCTTTCCACTGTCTTAGAGCTTATGTAGCACACCATAGCTCTCAAGCACATCCTGTAAACCTGAGGCCGTAAGGCCGTTAAACCCAGGAAGCCCCAAACCCGAAAGCCCTAAAGCCGAAACGCACCCTGGGCCCCAAAGCCTAAAGTCCTAAATACCTTCAGCCTGTGGATCCTCGCCTGGCTTGTCCGAGTTGTGAGAGTGTAAATACCTTCAGGATGTTGGGTTTAGGGTTTAGGGTTTAGGGTTTCAAGCTGTTTTTGTTGGATCAAGTTAAGTACGAACTATGCAAGCAGTTAAACTTCTCCGCACGGGCTCAATACCGGGCTGAAAACGCGGCCTTCTGCAGTTGACACGATTCCCGACACTTTGGTACCATTGTGGCCCCCGAGCGGCAAGAGCAAAGGCTCCTGAATGGTGGTAGTAATCTGAATGATAGTGAGAATGACACTGATAATGAGAATGATAATGAGAATGACAAGGGTAAGGAGAAGGAACATGCCAATGATGATGATAGCGCCGGTAGAAAGCCAATAACAATTAAGATGGTACTGATGATGACAAGGGTAAAACGACAACGGTAATGCTAACGCTAATGGTAACGGTGACGATGATGATAGCAATGACAGCGATAATGTTGGTGATGATGGTGATAAAGATACTGCTAACAAGAGTTGTGGCAGAAACTAGAGAAAACACTGGTAATTGTAGTAATAATCAGACAATATCAATAGTAGTAATGATATCAGTATTAATAACCCTAGCAAGAGAACGGCTAGTGATGATGGTGATGATGATGATGATGATGGTCATAACAAGAGACATGAGAGAAATGGTAATAATGACGAGAATCACCACAATAAAAGGAATATGACGACGACACAACTGATAATACTAAAATAACGAGTAATAGCACGTAACAGTAAAAACTATGACCAGAGCAATGGATAAGCAGTAATTAGTAGTTAACAACCACGAAAATAGTTGCAGCAATAACAACAACCATAAGAACAATAACCATCTAAGATAGTAGTCGTATTCATAGAAATACCAAAGATAAAGAAAATGATAGTAGCAGCAACAAGGGGGTTTGTAGCACATTTTTGTATATCCGACAGGTGCTGTAAGGCAACACTGTTAGCAGCAATATCGTAACCCTAAACCCTAAACCCTGAACCCTAAACCCTCAACCCAAAGCCCTAAACCCATCCCTACATTGTTGACAGGAAGCTTGAGCCAGCGACTTTGGGTTTTGCGGAAGCACCAGGCGATGAGAGCTCTCCGCTTCGATTGGAGGGCCTGTGGGCCCCAGCTAAGGGTAGAGAGGCTAAACCTTAAACCCTAAACCCTAAACCCTAAACCCTAAACCCTAAACCCTAAACCCTAAACCTTAAACCCTAAACCCTAAACCCTAAACCCTAAACCTTAAACCCTCCGGATGTAGGGTTGACGGGTTTAGGTTTTGGGTATAGGGTTTACGGCCTTAGGGTTTTGGGGTTTAGGGTTGGGTTTAGGGTTTAGGGTTTAGGGTTTACGGCTGAGGGTTTTGGGGTTTAAGGTTTAGGGTTTAGGGTTTACGGCTTAGGGTTTTGGGGTTTAGGGTTTAGGGTTTTAGGGTTGAGGGGTTTAGCGTTCCGAGTTTCGCCGGTCCTGCGGGGTTTCAAGGCTTTTGGGGATTAGAGAAAGATGTTCTAAATGACCCTCAAAGCGCTGCAAACAACGTTAACTTAAGCCCTAAACTCAAGCCCAACCTAAACCCATTTGTTTTCCCACCCCAACTACAGGACATTGGGCTTTTTGGGTATGTTTGAGCAGCTCGAGGTTCACAGTTCCTGGGTCGAAGGTTTAGCTACGACTGCAGGCCGTCGTCTTCCCTACATTCTAAACCCTAAGCCCCATAGTAGTTCCTTTTCGGGGTTCATATTTAGAATCCCATAAGGTATTATAATCCCAAAAAGGAACTACTATGGGGCCTATGGGTAAACCCTAAGCCACAACTTCAGGGTGGTCAGCTTATAGTTCGCGACATTCTGAACGCAGCTCCGGGCTTTAGCGGTCGGGGGTCTGGAGTTCTGAACCCTGAACCGTCAATCCTTGACCTCGAACTGTACAGGTTCCGGGTCAATCTATAAAGGCCTATTGAGGAATCCTTATAGAGGCCGCAAAGATGCCTGCATGTAATATATATATATATATAATATAACTATTCTATACCTAGTTTTTTTACACGTGTACTCACTCTCTCTCTCTCTCTCTCCTCCCTCCCTCGCACTCGCACTCTCGCTCTCTCTCTCTCTCTCGCTCTCGTTCTCTGTCTTTCACTCTCTCTCTCTCTCTCTTGCTCACTCGCGTTCGTACAACCCTGAAAAGAACGGAGCCTTAGCCGTGAGGTCTCTGCGCGACCTCGACGGTTGCGATGCCCAGCACGCTGACAGAGGCCCTTGCACAGGAGCTACGGCTTAGGGATTAGACTGAGTTGCGATGGCTAGGTCTATGAAGGTCTGCGCAATCTTGCGCATTTAGGGTTTTCGGGTTTTGGGGGGTTTAAGGGCTTTCAGGGTCAAGGGTCTAGGGTTTAATTAAGGCATTAAGAGCTTTGGGGTTCATTGAGGGCTTCAGGCTTTCAAGTTTAGGGTTCAAAAGGCTCGGGTCTGAGGTTTTCGGATCAGGGTTGACAGGTCGATCGTTTTTTAGGGTTTAGGGTTTAGGGTTTAGGGTTTAGGGTTTAGGGTTTAGGGTTTAGGGACAAGACAGACGTGGCAGACGTGGCAGAGCCTGATCCCTGGCATTTTGCTTAGCCCGAAGACTGTAGGATGAGTCGTGCTGTCTGCTGTCTGAGCAGCCGCACAGCTGAGTGTGCCACGCTTTTGAAGCTGTTGCTGAGCTCAGCTCATGTAAGGGAGCCAGAACCCATCATGGAGGAGGGTCCGTCATGACGGAAAGGTTGGGTTGGCTGCATGTCAAGGATTGACAGAGTGACAGAGATCGTGACTTTAGCAACAATAAGAGCGACAATGAAGCACAACACAACGACACTGGCAAAATTTCCAGAGATATACTCATACTAGAGCCCATCTCGTTAAACATAGTTATATTACAGTCTGAGGTGTGGCTTTCCCTTTGGTTGTTGAAAAACGATTTATCTGACATTGTCAATGCAGTGTTCTTCCAAGCTACACCCAAGCCCCAAGAAAGAAGTCCCGAACGCCTACACCCATCTACACCCTAAACCCTGATCCCTAGGTCGGTTCATTGCCTGCGCCCCGTGCTATCGTCGTTTCTTGTGCGCTATCGTCGTTTTTTTATTTTGCCCGAAGCGTGGGAGTTCTGAGATGCTTCTATGGCCGGTAACAGTGTGGTGAATGTGCGTGTTTACAGGTCGAGTTTTGGCAGGCAGTCTTCTTGCAGTACGCTACGGTTGGTTCTATAAGGCTTTCTTCTAATTCGACTACCAGGAACGACGCGCCATGTCTTTGCATCACCTTCCACATCCCAAGGCGTTTCGTGGGATGGTGGGGCCTACCAAAAAAATATGTTTCGAGGACCAGGAAGTTTCACAAGTAGACTATGCCTGATTTTTCAAAGCATGATAAGCCCAACCGGTGTATTTGTAACTCCACTTGGCCCCACTGCCAACCTTGAACCATCTTGGTGTAGTATCATCCCGATATCTTTCCAAAGGTGAACCGTGAGTCCCCCTAGGATACTGGACCATAGGAGAGAAAGGCTGATGGGGTTTCGGGGTTTAGGGTTTAGGGTTTAGGGTTTAGGGTTTCTCAGAAAGATATAGGCTATAGGCTGACCAACTCTTCTGTCTGCAGGAGAAGCAGATGCCGCGGCCGGCGCAGGGGCCCTGCGCTTTGGTCTTGCTGACGACCGGCGAGGTGGGATCAAGGTTTTTGGTTTGGAGGCTGTATAATATACGACCATATAGTGTTCAACATATTCGAATATACTAGAATATGCTATAATAGTGTGGTATACTGTATTCTTTTTGAAAACAAAAATCCTTGACTTTCGGGGCTTGGAGCAAAAAGACTCAAGCAATGAAAGTTAAAAGCCCCTAAACCCATACCCTCTACACTGAAGCCTCGCTATTGAGCATAGACCTCGGCCATGCGACAGGAAAAAACCCTCTACACTCAACCCTTAACCTTCAGCGGCTGCATGCAAGAACCTTATAGGAACCCCCATGTTTAACGCTGATAGTACCCTTGTAGAACCATTTAAGCACCACCTAGGCTTGCCTTTCAATTACAGGCTTGACCAGCGGAGCTGCTTCTGAATTTCAGCCAATCTGCATTTTTAATTTCAGGGTTCAGGGCCCTAAGTAAGTAGCCCCTAAGAAAGCTTACATCCTGAATGTAGGTATGTCCTAGCTAGGCGGGAGGCAAAAACCCATGAACACGAAAGCCCAGAATCAATGAAGCACCCCTGTCCCGGCGGGTCCCTATGACATTGTGGTATAAGATACTCCCGAACCCTCTTCTTCTGAAAGCGCTTCCATAACGGTGTTCGGATTCAGGTTTCGGTTGGAAGGCGTGGGGTTTGGTGCTGAGGGACAAGGGCTTCGCGGCTCGGAGCTTGGATGGCTGCGGCAAACCCCGCAAAGTTGGAAATGGGACAAGGACAATTAGTGTTGGTATTCCCCCACAAGTTGTTTACAGGGCCATGAGAACAAAACTTACTAGACTTTTCGTTTCCCCAAACCCCGAAACCCTCAGCCTTAAACCTTCGAAACCTACACAACCCCAAAGCCCTGACAGACTTGCCGCGGCGTCATCATCAATGCAAACCACGCCCTCTGCGACGGGCGCGCGATGTTCCGCTATCTGCAGGCGTTCCTGGTCAGGCTCTCCGCAGATGATCTCCAGGTGGGGGAATGGTTTAAGGTTTAGTGTTTGCTGATTGGGAGAGCTCCGGGTTCAAAAAATTGGTGTAGGGGTTGGGATTGTGCACGGTATCTTAATCCCACCCAAAGGAAGGGACCCGTAATGATCGGAAGTCCATTGTGGGGTCCCTTAGCAGAAAGCCGAATGCATTGACTAGACACTACACTCGTAGCTTGAAGACAGACGCCCCAAAGGAAGGACAACTCAGAGCCCGCTCCGTTCGTGTTGAGAGGCCCCAAACCCTAAACCCCGAAGGCAACATCCGCATTCGCCGAGACTCCTATCCATAAACTCCGAAAGCATGTAGTTCCTAAATGAAAACCGGCATGTCCCTACTATAGCGCAGCCCTGCAATAATTAGTTGAGAGTCCTCCAAGTTGGAAACAGATATTCTGTGAGCTTGCGCTCAGAATCATAGGTCTCACTGATCCTCATTTTTCATTTCCTTTCCGCTGAATCAAGCCTAACACCCTATCTGCAGCCAATGCTCGGGGCCCTATCCCAAGCCTTGTGCGGGCTGCGAGAGTTGAAACCCTAAACCCTAAACNNCTAAGCCCCTAACCCCAAAACCCAAAGAAAGGTCACGCCGAGAACGCCAGATCTCCCTGCCGACTGGGGTCACTGCATTTCGGACGACGCAGCCTCTCCGGATTTCTTGCCCCTGCCAGGGAGCCCTCTACAGATCAAGGCCCTTGGGCCGTGGTGTTATGTTTAGCGTCGAGAGTTTTAGGGCTTTAGGGTTTAGGCCCACGGTATTGACGCCCTACCCCTGGCTTCTTTGAGCTTCTCAAGGCTTCGGACCTTGCTCTTGAACTTCTGTGATCGAGCAGGGTTTTGGGTTTAGGGCCCAAACAAAACACACAGAAGGCGAACAGTTGGAACAGATCGGGGTTTGGGGTACAAGGTCTTGGCGCCAAGGAGTAGGTGTAGACGCAGTGGTATGGACGCAAAAATCCAGCGACAACAAATCACCCCTAAGCTACGCTAGCACCCCAAATCCCTAAACCTTCAATCTGAAATCCTGTCCCGTTGTTGCCTGGAACACCCGCGCCGCAACAACCGGAACCCCGAACCCAAAACAATTGAGCCTTTGAGCGCCTTCTCCGCCCTGTGTCAGACGTGCACTGGCCAGGAGCCACCCCAAGCATCCAGAACCCTAAGCTTTAAACCCCATGCGGGGCCTTGCCAGCCTTGTGAAATCTTAGATCTCCGCCAGAGGGTCCATAATTCGGCACCCCAAAAATCCCAAGCCCCTGAAGGCTGGAACCCGGTGAGGCTGGAATCCCCAAGCCTGAACCCTACGGCCCTTGGGACCCGCTTCTTTCAACCCGTCAACCCGGCACCAGAAACGCGAATTCGGAAGCCTTCAACCCTAGAGACTAGAGTTTAGGGTTTACGGTTAGGTTTTAGNNGTTTAGGGTCTAGGGTTCAGGGTAGGGTACCCTGAAAGGACCTTCGTCGAGAAGGCAGTGGTGAGCCAGTTTTCCGCCGCATCCTGGCGGCATCCACTTTCGCCAAGGCCCTGGACGGCAGTGTTTGTTGCCTCTTTACAGTAGGACTCCCTAAACCCTAAACCCTAAACCCTAAACCGTTTCGAAAGTGTTGTGGAAGTCTTTCAACCTCAAGTTTCACGGTCTTCTTTGGTGGGTTTTATAAAGTGTGACGCCGAAACCCTAAA